CCAGCATGTCTTCAAGTGACCTTCAAGTGACCATCCAAGGCTGTGCAAAGCCCCAGCCACAAGCCTCTTGTTAGCACAGGCTTCCTGGTGTACAGGCACAGGAAGAACACTGAGAGGGCCCCACTGCCTGGTCTGGGCTACCTCAGTATATGAGGCATGGACCCCACTCCTCCACCCTCACCCACAGCACACGGCTCCTCTCCTCACCCCTGAGACACCACCACCACTACAAACATAGTCTTCCCTGTGATTTGGCACAGTATCTTTTTGGTTCTACGCACCCTGGGCAGTGCTGGGGCAAAGCCAACTGAAGTCTTTGGCAAGCAATGACACTGACAATTTGTTAGTCCTTTAGCATTAACTTGTACTCTCAGGTCAATTCTTCTCCTTCACTTGATCCCAAAGTAACCTCATGGAGTATTGCTACTCATCCTGTCCGACAAAGAAGGCACAGTTGAAAGTTGGAAGTGGAAAGGTGCACATGAGTTGTCAAAGTCACATGGCAAGAGGTAGCAGTGGGCTTTGAACTGAGGTACTAAACTTCAAATCCTTGCTCATCCACACTTCTGTATTTCCAACCTTGCTGCTGTGAAATATCAGGGAAGACACCAGCCGGGCTGGAAGAACTGGAGCTTGGCTTCTTGGTCTCCTGATCTGTGAGGCTGGTGAAGGGCTCCAGTGCGTGGGTGTGACACATGGTATTCTCTGGGCAGACACCCAGAGGTGGCTGTCCTGAGCTGGGGAGGAAGCCTGGGATCCCAGGTCCCTCTCTGCCCATACAGAGGGATTCTACATCACTATAAGCATGGGAGTGTGCTAAGAACTTGCATCCCGGGGCTCTGACTCAGGCACAGCTAGGGAAGCCAGGCACAGGCTCAGGCAGTGGGACCAATGTCCAGAGGCCTCGCGCAGGTGAAAGCACAGACTCCATTGTGTGGAGATGGGAGTAGGAGCCAGGCCTGAGCGATGTAGTGCCTGGTGCTTTGTTCCTCCCGAGCCTGACCTCTCCTGACACGGGTCACAGTCGAGCAGGTGGCCTGAAGATGATGAAGGAACCAGTCCATAGCATTCACTCATGTTCAGACCGTAACCTGATGAACACTGGCTTTTGTGACTTCTGAGTACAGAGCTATGGCCACCTGGGTCTCTGCCAGCTGGGCCATGCGATAGATTCTGGATGTCAACAGTGCTGACCTCCATGACAGCCACAGTTCTCACAGTGCCAAGTTATGGCCTGGCTGTGTGGCAAGAAGCGATGGGTGTCACTGCCTCCTGTGCTGACAGCCCGTGCACAGCCACACTTTGTCCTCACAGGGGTGCTCGTGTCTGCCAGGGGCTGTCAGCCATCACAGGATAGGAGCCACCTTGGCTGTGACACAGGCCTCCTGCAGGGTCCTGCACGGCAGTGAAGGGGTCAGGCTGCAAGACCAGGGCTGCTCTGATGGGGAAGGCAGAAGAGGTAATGATCCTGTGAACCAAGGAGCTCCCTCCGACTGAGGAGCAGGGTTCTGCTGAGTGGGGACAGTGTCCCTCTGACTGAGCTAAAGAGACCACAGACTGCAGGGAGTCCCCCAGATGAAAGAGCAGAGTCCCCCTGATTGGGGCTGGGGTTCCCCTGACTGGCACCCCTTGAGTACCTCCTGTACTGACTCCATGCTATCCCACCCTCATCCAGCCTGGGATCTCTCCAGTGCCCACATGGCAGCCAGTTTGGTCCCTGCACACCCAGGCCTGCCACTCTAGTCACACCCTTAGAGCTCCTCTCACAGGGAGACGAGACCCTCCCCAGCCTGGAGGACCTGCCCCTCCATGTCCCCCCACTTTGTGCCAGGGGTAGAGTCGGCAGCCTGGCCTCTCCCTTGCACCTAGGTCTCCTCATCCACCCCTCGTGAGTTTGCCCTACTGTGGCCTCCCAGAGGCCATGTCTGGCTCCCGCCCCAGCTCCATAGCCCTCCTGATTTCCTCCCCAGCATTTGGCACACAGAGTCAAACACACAAAGGAAACACACCACACGCTGCAAACCCAGCTTCTGGAGGCCAGGAGGGGAGTGTCTGCAGAAAGGGCCTGGCTTCGGACATGTGGGAGATGCAAGGCGGCTCCTGGCAGCAATTCACGAAGGCCAAGGGTTATCAAGTGGGATCTCCTTGGAGGAGGAGGGGAGCGAACACAAACACCTGCTTCTAAAAGATGATTGGCTATGTTTTCTTTGAAGAGAAATGCAAAAATTGATGAGAAATTTGCTGTTTTAAGAATCACCTCCAAAGAGGGCCGGGATTTAGCTCAGTGGTTCCGCCGCCTGCCTTGCAAGTGCAAGGACCCGAGTTCGCTCCCCGGTACCAAAAAAAGAATAACCCCCAAAGAAACAAGAGAAAGAAAGGGATCTTTCTGTCCTGGCCTGTGTGACTGAGTGACGTGGGCCACAGGACCAAATATACAGCTGGCTACACCTGTGTGCCCCACGTCGGCTCCTCAGACAGATCGCGTCTCCTGTGTGACCCTCTCATCTTACTACGAACTGGTTCCTTATGTTCACACCCAAGCTCAGAGACCAGGCAGAATTCCCAGGAAAGGATCACGTAGGACAAGGAAGAGCTCACACGGTGAAAGCTAGCTGCCCTGGCCATTCAGCATAAACCCCACATGGTGCTTGATGGGGACTGATGTGGCATCAGCTGTGTGCCTGTCATTAAGTTTCCTATCATTCTGTGTAAGCTTACAAAGTAAATGCCCTTTAAATTCTGTTGCCAGGATTATCTCTCCCTTCATTAATAACAAAAGATGTCCAAGTTTGTATCATCCAGTACCAAATACCAACCACAGCCTTTGGTCTTTCGGGCAGCCCGTGACATTCCCTGTCATATCAGCAAAAGCCTCATCAGGCTCAGGGTGCTGATGGTCCAGGCAGCAGGACCACCGCTGTCTTTCCAAAGCACACAGCTTGCCATGACACTAGCAAGAGTCAATGCAATCTTTTAAACCTAGATCCCACAAGAAATTCTTTTTGGGTTTAAACTCCTTTCTTCTCACTTCCCACATAGGGTTGCCATTTGGTGAGGTGTTGCCACACTCCGTGACACCAATGTCCTCTAGCAGACATGGACTAGGTACCCAGTACCCTTGACATTTCTGCTGCCAGACTCTAAGATTCGTATGCTCTCATGCTTATGTTGTATAATCTTTTCCCTGTACAGCATCCACTACACTTGTAATACTATAACATTACTTGAAATATGAAAGGAGCGAGTGTTTTTATAAATTATGCACGGATGTTAACAACTTTGTACATGTACAACAAGCAGGAAACATTGTGGCTTGCATAGCTACAGCAGTTAATATAAATGCACTAGAGTAAGTTAGGAAATCGAGCATTCAGAGAGTTGTTGATATGAGACTCAAACATCCATTTGATAGGTAATTTCTCCCTTGGTACAACACATTAGTGCATGACATGAACACATTTGAAACGACCCAGAAACTAGATTTCAAATAATCAAACTCATTTTCCCTTGAAAGCAATAAAATAAATGAAAGGACATTGTCTGTGAGTATATTGTCATGATTAAAAAAAGATAAAAAGACTATATTGCATTCCATTTTATTCCACTCACAGCCTCCTTAAGTTCCAGCAAATCCAATTTTAGGTGAATTACTTCCCAGTCCTGGGGTGAACTGTCAAGCGTGGAATAGCCAAGGGTGTGTTCCTGCATACAAACCTGACAACGAACCGCTTCTGATGAGGACAGTGCATGAGTGCACCCCAAGGCTGTTGAGGACAGAGGGGCCCCAGCTATCACAGTCCAGTCCCCCTCTTCAGGTGGCAACACGTTCAAAACGACAGCTCTGGGCTCCCTCTTCCCAGGCCCACAGGAGGCTGCTCTGCTGTGTGAGGACACTTTGCCCTGCCATGTCATGTCCCAGCTCCAAATGGCTTCTGACGAAGCATGGTGACAGTGAGGCTGGGGATCCAGTTCTCTACAAAGTCCATGTCCCTCAGACCTCTGGATTTAGCACAACTTTGAAAAGGATCTTTTTCTAATCAACACCTCTCAGTGGTCCAATCACTACCTTCAGGAAGTAAGTTTGTCTAAGAGCATAAAGACTCCTATGAGCAAACCCAATAGCAACCACGGCAGAGGAGCTGACAATTTGCCCCCTGTGGGGTGGCAGCTCCTGCATGCTGTGTTGTCCACCACTGATGAAGAAGCTGCATCAACAGGACGCCCTTGCATTGAGGCCTCAGATGTGTACAGAAACTGAAGATCAACTCTCTGAATCAGTGGGAACATTGTCCTGCACTTGCCATTGAAAAAACAAAATACTTAAATTTCAATAAACAATAACTCCCATATTTCACTCCCATATTTAGGGATGACTGAAGCAGAATTGTGTTCTGCCCTACCTGGACAGCACCCTTAGCCTGGCCTCTCATAAATGACCACAGAGCATGAGGTGTCCTTCCTGCCAAGTCACCCCAGAACACCAGAGCTAAGGCTCTTTCAATTGGCCTTCTTAGACTGTACAGCACACTCTATACGATTGCTCCATCCCCAAGAAAATGTGTTTCGGAAATTCAAAAAGTATGTCCTCTACCCCTTCTTGCTCTTCAAGGCATTAGTGAGTGGCGATTTGTGATCTTCTACTCCATGACAACACTGATCACATGGCCAAGGCCACTCCTGCTCCATCAGGGCCCAGGTCTGAGAAACACAGGAGCTTGGGATCTGTCAGGAAACCACCATGTTCACTCAGACAATGCCTGTGCTCGGCCCTAAAGCCTCAAACCAAGTCACACAGCTCTGTTCACACTGGGCCCTGTGCACACCAACTCTTGTGTCTCCAAGCCTCTCAGATGTAATGCTGAGGTTTCCTCTCCTGTCAGAAGGTTGACAGGTTGTGTGTGACAGAAACCCAAACAGCGTGGCCCAGGTGTCACTTTCTCTGATGGCCACGTCTCTGCCTAGACTGTGTGGGGCACACACACATGTGGAAACAGCCTTACCTGTGGCCCTTGCGACGTCTGCAGTTGTCACATTTCGGACATTGGCACCCACTTTGAAGGTCACTGCCGGCCCCAGGACACTGGAAGAGACCATTCAGGAAGAGGTCATTACCAAGTCACCACAGGGGTGGTCTGAAAGCTCCCCAGCAAACCCCAACGAGTGGAAGCGTGTCTGAGGCACTGTGCTGCAGGCGTGATCTCCTCCTCAACCCTGGGCTGTTTGGCTTTGAAGTGTGACTCGGTTTCCACCTCCAATTCTATTAGTGGCTTTGCCATGGGCTACCCTCTTATAAAAATGTTCAAATCCATGCTAGGACCCAATACTCCCCCCGAGGGAACAGGAAACACTGCATGGACCCAGGCCTTGTCCTGAGCTCCCAAGGGGGCACCAAGAGTTAGGGCAGGAAAGAGGGAGACAAGGTGTTCAAACTGCTCGTGACAGGAGACTTTTTAAAAACCACCACTGTTCCATATAAAAGTGCCCGGCGGGGAATAGCTTGACAGGAATTATCTAAGTGTCAGTTGCTTTGTAAACACCACGTTCAACATGATTTTGAGAAATGACATCATCTGAAGACTTCTGTGTCTGAAGGACTGGATGCCAGGTGAATACCAGCTGTGTACAGATGGGGAGACCAATGTGATCTTGAAAGCTGGGACTTCCTCCACCTCCACAGTGACCGTCTTCAGAATGCCCCTGACTCCTGTTAACCCACCTGAGGACGAGAGGTGGGGAAGGAGCCAGCCAGTATGCAGAGGCAAGAGAGGAAGTCCTGACTGCCTAAAGCTCCTACAGTATCCCTGGGGGCTCACAGAGCCCCGGGCTCCTCTGTGCCCCACCCCAGCTCCCACTGAAGTGTAGAAACCCAGCTAAAACCCTTCCCACCCACCTGCTCCCTGCCAGACTGCATCTCTTAGGCATTGCAGAGTTTGTGGGCTCCACTGCGCTCTCTGCCTGTGAGCCTTGGTGTCCCCTCCAGTCCCTCTCTGGAGTTCATCCTGCTCAGGCACAAGCCTCTGCCAGAAGGAATCTCGCCACTGCCAGGCCATGACTATTCTCTGTCGCTGTAGGAGCCTCCCCATAGAAGTCCAGCATCACTCGGGCTCAAGATCCACCCTGGACCCCTACTGTAAGGATTGGCAGGTGCTACCCACTGGGCACTTAGGCCAGATACATCCAGGGGGTCCGACGCCTGGAAATGCCAGTGTACCCATCGACCTTCCCCTTCCAAAAGCTGCATTCCAGCCAAGCTGTGCCACCATGTAGCAGAGCCAAGTTGCTTCTGTGTCTGGCTCTCCTGCCTGTCAGACCAGGCATCCCCCTGGGCCCCTGTGCAGCACAGGGCTACAGAAGCTGTCTTAGGACCTCACCTAGTCCTCCCATTGGGAAGGAGGTCAACAGGCTTGCATGGTCTCAGAGGCCGGCTCCACTCCAGGAAGGAGGCCATCCATCCCAGCGTGGCCTCGCCCTTCACATCACCACCCCAGTGCCTGATTGCTTTTGCTCCCTCCCCCTGCATTCCACATCTAGACCCACTGTTGGTTCTGAACATGAGGTAGCTCTGGCGTGATGCCCACATTCACCTCTGCTCAATCCTGGTGCAACTGTCACAGCCCAGAGCTCCAGAGATTCAGCACCATGTCACAGAGCTGGCCTGGAGCTCAGAGCCTGGTGGGTTTCTACACCTGGCCATCCTGAGGACCAGGGACCAGAATCCTCTCATTTCCTCAGGCCTCTGTGGGAGGCAGTGGGCAGGGAGCACCAAATTACTTTCAGAAGGTTGACATGTTGTGTGTGGCAGGGAGCCTCTGAGCATCCCATGGGGCCAGGAGAGAAGCTGGAGCCCAGTTCTGCAGAGGTGGTGGTCACATTCCGGGCACTGATATTAAGGATACCAGGAACAAGTGATTGAGGCATCTTCAGAATGTGTCTCCTGCAGCCAGAGATGCTCTGGAGAGAAGGTGAGGTGGACAGCAGGTGCTGTGCCTCCTGCCTGGCCCTCCTGCAGTGCCAGGCTGCAGGCATTTGTCAGCAGTGATCATTATGGGTAGACAGCCACAAAGGATCCACTTTTAACCTGGGACTGGGGAAAGTAACTCTTCCTAAGGGACATCGTCGGCCATTGTGTCTCAGTCAGTGGACACTGAGTGGTGGTCTGGACTGGACCCTGGGAGCCTCCTAGGTCCTCTGCATCATCATGGCCAGGGGACACAGAGACATATGCACCATCAGTGCCGGAAGCTCTGCCAGCTCAGAAATGCCACTCGGGGGGCCCACTGGGGAGCACATGGCCCCAGATCTCACAGGAGTCTTGGCATCTTCCTGATAACTTTCTGAAGAAGGAGAGGGGCAAGCTGGGCTCCATCATTACCCTGGCACTGGGACAGACAGTGCCTCCCAGGCAGTGGCTCTCCCAATCTGCAGGGTTCAGGGTGTCAGGTGAGGGCAACCGTCTTCAGGGGAGAAAGGACCAGCAGGGCAGAAAGGCCTGATGACTGAAGGACACCTGGGGGGCCAGGAAGGTGAGGTCCACCTGGGGACATTGCCAGTCATGCTGTGAGCTGCTGCATAGCACCGGCCTCCCAGGCCCCTCCTGTGGAGTCTCCACCCAGGCCTCACTGTCCAGGCTGATCCAAAGCATGCCACTGGTTTCAGTCTTCTCAAGGGAGCAACTTATTTCTACCTGACTATGCAGAAGCTTCCATGTCCACAGCATGGGCTCCTGTGTCCCCATGGGAGCTGCTGTGGACGCAGCACAGATCCTGTGCCTTTGGAGGGATGAACATGCGCCTCAGTCTCAACACCTCCAAGACTGCACGGTGCCCAGCACTCAACCTTAGCACTGTCTCATCAACTAGCCAATACCTTGTCCTGTGTGGGTTTCCACTCTAGGACACCTAATTTAATGCACTTTGTTGAGTAGCTGACGCTGAACTCACAGGCCTCAGCCTGCAGCCCCACTGGCAGGATGCTCCTGTGATGTCCGAATACCCTCTGCAGCAGCCCAGGGTCCAGCATGCAGAAGCACTGGGCAGCACAAAAGCATGAACAGCGTGGCACCAAACCAACCACGGAAGCCACCCTTGCTCACAGTGTGAGTCGGAACAGGGAAGCAGTGTCCCAGGCTGGGAGCATGTGTGTTGGCAGCCCACGGCTTTTTGGTGCTCTGCATATGTCCAGGAATGGCCATGAGAGCGTCATAAGAATTGACACAAATTTCCAGATAAAAACCACAAATGATGAGCACGGATGATTTCCTGCCATCTGTGATGACAGTTCCCTGTACGTCACTGATTTGGCTATTTTTTTCACGTTACAAGTTAATATTGTAGAAAACAAGGGTGTTGGCATCTAAAAGCCTTACGTGACTGTTCCTTGCTAGTGATTTTGTCTCACCATATTCTTTAACCGCACAAACAGGGCTGAGAAGGCCCATCTTGGAGGGCATCTGGGTGACTGATGGGCACTGGCACACTTTAGGGTGGTGATGGTGAACCTTTTAGAGCTTTTAATGATACAAAAAGACCGCTGCAGCATGCGTGCCTCAGGTCTGCCACCACTATTCTAGGGTTTCACTCTAACCAGGGAGTTCTTGCTGTACCCCAACAGTCCAGGCAGCTGGTGGCCTAGAAACTCTGGCACCCACTCTCTGGATGGAGGATGCTGCATAGCGCATGGAGCTCTGCACACTGCAACTCTTTTAATGGCCTGGCTGATACGAGCGGCAAGATCATTCTGCTCTCCCCTGGCCCTGTGACTCTGGGATATAGGTCCTAGTCCCTGTGGGGCCGACTTCCAAAGGCTCCTGGGGAGGTCAAGTCAGTGTGTGGCATATCCTCCGGGGCAGTATTCTTGGTGGGGAGCACACAAGCATTTTTGAGTCGTGGTCCCTGAAGGTCCACTGAGTTACTGGCTGTCACATTCAGTTGTGAGAAGTGACTGCTGCTGATATGGAAGCAATGAAGGAGGAACATAAACCTGGGCTCATGTCCTCCATGCCCCGGGAAAGAAGACATTTTCAAACATCCCAGTGGTGTGCAGAACTTGCAGCGCACTTTTTACATGGCTCCTATGATAAACAAAGCTCCCCATGACCACGAGATTCAGTTCCCTCCAGACTGGACACAGCAGAAAAAGCTACATCCTCGAGAATTTGCAGAATTCTTCATTTAAAACTACCTTTAGCCAATTTAAGCAAATCATACTTGTCCACATAGATAAGCAATTGCTCCATAGCCGCAATCCCAGCTATAATTATTTCCATGCTAAATGCAGGTCTAGTCGCTCTGAGCTCTTCATCATCCAGTGGTTCTACTCAACACATTACCACGTTGATAATAATTCACTCTCTTTTTATGGTCATGGGCCATGCTAACAAAGAACAGAAATAATTTCTAAGATTTCAACACTAATATATTTTCCAGAAACTTTGCCTGCTATCAGTTAAGGCAATGCAAAACAAACAAGCCAGCCCAATGCTGATGAGTGTCAGGCACATGAACTCTGCTTAACTGAGGGCTTAGAAACCAATCTTGCCCACTTTCTCATTAAAATAATTTAAAATGCATACAGTGTCCTGCCATCGTAACATCAACACATGACCTATGAGTCTTCTCAAAGGCCACATGTTCCAGGTCATCTCTGACTGTGACACCACAGTCTGACACCCTGGCCACCCAGAACTCGGTGCATGCTCTGACTGCAGGTCCATGAAGTGTGCGGTAGACTAGCAGACCTTGGAGACAGCTTCTTCTTGTTTAAAACCATTTATAAAACACAGAACCTCCTAGAGCCCAGTCCAGTGAAGCTCTCTCTCAGTGTGGTTAGTCTAGGAGTTGTTACTTTCATGTAATGATGGGTTATATACACACAGGACTACTGGTAGCAAGTCTACCCTTTTTTTTGCAGAACTGGGGATTGAACCCAGGGCCTTCACACTGAACTACATCCCCCAGCCCTTTATTTATTTAATCTTGAGATAGGATCTCACTACATTTCTAAGTTGCCAGGCTGGCCTCAAACTTGTGATCCTTCTGCCTTGGCCTCCCAGAGTGCTAGGATTACAGGCCTGTACCACCATACCTGGCTCAAGTCTACCTTTAAGGTCTACAATGAAGATAACACAAATGATGATAGTTGCCCTTGTAAACCCTACTTTGTAGTCAGTTTAAATAAGACAAGACTTGGGTCCTAAAATTCTCTTTAATTTTGCAGATAAAAAGAAGATAGCAAGGATATATTTGGCAACAATGGATAATTTTAAGGTGAATCGTTTAATGTTGATACTTTACAACTAACATAAATGTAAATGCTGTTCTTATCAATGAATGAACTTTTTTTTTTCTTAAATTCTTTTATTGGTACATTGTAGGTATACAACACAATTACATTTCTCATTGGGAATTGTACCTTTACATGATGCATCTTGGTTCTTATTTTTTCCCCATTCCTAGCCCTCCCTTCACGCCCTCCACCCTTCCCTATTTACAAAGACTTTATTTCCATTTTTTCCATTTCTCAGCATTTTTCCTTTCCCTTCTTTCCTTTCCCCGCCCCTCCCACTACCCCTACCTCTTTGGACCTTTTCTTCCTATTTTGCATTATTGCATTATCGATTATTCAATGAATGAACTTTCTTGAATGCTGTTTAGAGATAAGATGAACTTCTGATAGGCTATTTTCATTAAAACTTGTTTGCTAGCTTACTCCTTTTTGGCCTGGTAGACTGACCTGTTGTCTGTTTGATACCTGAATTTTAGGTGCAGTTCACAACACATGTGGGTGGGTGGATGGATGGATGGATGGATGATGAATGACAGACAGATGGATGGGTGGATGGAGGATGCTGGATTGATGGCCAAGAACCACTTTGTGGGTGGGCTCTTCCCGCAGTCCCTGTAGCGTGACCCTGGCTTGTTCCTATGGACCATAGCTTCCTCCCAGTCTTGCTCAGCCCCTCTCCTCCTCCATGGAGGTGACCCCGGTTTGGGAGTGGGTGAGTCTAAGGTGCTCATGGGAGCCAACAGGAAATGAGGGCTCCCACAGATTACCTTTGTGTGCCCCATTCTGTCCAGGTCACGGACCAGAGGACAGGCCCCGGCCATGACATCTAAAATTTCTTGCAGATGGCAAAATAATGCAGACACACACTCCTAAAGCATACTTTCCATGATCATAATTTCTGCAGTTAGATATTCCTGCCTCCCAATATTAGGCAATAATGTTTCAAAAGATCCAGTGTGAGAGCTTATAAGGGAGGAGGGACTGAGAGAATCAATTCCTATTTGAATGTGCAAGGAAACAAAGACTCACTAAGTTATTGATTACAAGGTAATTTAATGTAACCCAAGCTTTAACCAAAAGCACAGTGATGGATGATGCTCTCCTTTCCTGGGGCTGAGCAGCTGCATCACTGGCAGACTGCATCTCCTCTAAAGTCATGCCGTGATCTGTATGATCTGGGGCTTCCTTCTTTGATTAATCGACGCCCTGTCTTGCAAGTGAGGCTTTGCTCTGAGCCTCAAATTACTGTATTGAGTGGGGCTGGCCCAGTTCCTGCCCCAAGAAGCCTATAGTTTGCTGGAAAAAATAAAGTCTTAGCTCTCATGGGTCAAACATCATCACCCGAAACCACAGTCTCCCAGGGAACCCCTAATTCCTGGACCAGTTCTACACAATGCTTCAGGCTGGGCCTAGGGAAGAGCCGAAGTCCTAGAAAAAAGAGCTTACTAGGATGCTTAAGTCCAGATCTACTCATGTTAGTTTTTCCTAACAGTGATAGGAATGATGCACCATTGCACAACCCACCACATGCTGTGTGTCTCCATACCAGGTGCAGCCCGAAGCTCTGAGCAGGGCACCCCCCTGGGGATCTGCCAACCTGCATCAGCCATCTGTGGGGCCCTTATGGAGATTGATGAGGGTTTAGAGAGGGTGACAGCAAAGCGTGTTCCTGTGAGGGAGCTCCTGAGAGGGGCCGAGACCCAGGCCACACCCAGACTCCCTACTATGCAGAAGGGAAACTGAGACTTAGGAAGGTAAGCGACTGACTCCCTCCAAGTTGTCTGAGACTACAAAATGGGCTCAACCAGCATGTAACAGGCTAGCATTGTTAACCAAAGCGCGGGCCTGGGTCAGTGAGCCGCAACCACCTCTCTGTCAGAGAGCAACAGCTACCTCTCTGGAATTGTTTGCAAACACACAGCGGCTCTCCTGACATCTCACCATGATCCTTATTTCAAGGACAGCGTGTACCTGTGTCTGGCAGTAGACCACCTCCTTGTAGCTGTCTAAAGCACCCGACAGGGTGCTGAGGATGGAGCCTGCACTTTGCTCCGGGAAGAAGGCTCTGGACACCAGGCCCGTCCTCCTCTCTTCTCAGTGCCCTCCCTTCCCTGCTTCCCGTGTGCCAGGGCAGTGAACTGACAGCAGCAGGACTGTGAGTGGCTGCGAATGCCCCTCATTCGGCCTAGTGACCCTCAGGTCCTGGTAAACCACACTACATTCATGACTTAGCACTGGCTGCACCTGTGCACCTGTGCTTAGGCTCTGCTCAGTGAGGGCGCTGCGTTTCTGGTTGCCTCTGAGGCCCCAGTGATGATAAAGCCCTGGTTAACTTGTTCTGTGTGAGGGGTGGGGCAGGAAGCAGGGCTCAGGGCTGGCGCAGGCATCTCCCCAGCTCTGTGCACGCAGGAGCCTGGAGCATAAGTGCCAGGGTGGAGGATTCCCAGTGCTGCATCCTCGGAGCTGTCTTGAAGAATAAGAGCCCAGTAAATCACACAGAGGAGAAATGCAACTGTTTCTGGCAAACGAGAGCCATGAAGATTGATCATGGAATTAAGCTGTCCTCCCGTGACATGCCGGGTGACCTAGGAGCGGAGCTCGTCTGAGGAGAATTGACGCCTGGCACCTCCCTGTGGCTCCAGGGTCTGGGCAACATCTTTCATTGGCACTGCTCACCCTGGTGCTCCCCACCTGACCGCATACCATGGGAGGCAGCCCTGCATCCATCAGCCCACCCGGGACAGCACGGTTAGATTGTAAAATCATAACTGTGGTCGTTGTACGTCTGCTGGCATAATTACATCAGCATGCTAATGCCATTTTAATGGTCTCTAATGATGTAATAAGAAATAATGGAATTTATTTGACAGCTACATAACCATTAACAAAACATATTAAGCATAACTAGTACTTCCATAAAAATGCAGACAATGTCTGCCAGCGCCAGCGCACATGTCCCCTCTTCCCCACTCCGGGAACAATGAGGCCCTGGCCCTCCCTCCCAGGGCCTGAGGTGCAGGGGCCCTGAACAGGTTGGAGGAGTACACGTCCATCGCTGTGGGGCAGTGTTCAGAATTGTTGGGATGTGCCGGTACTGCTAGTGTGTTCAGAAGTCAGTGCTGTCACCAAACGCATGCACACACATCACACACGTACAATGGCTCAAAGCGCAGGGTGGCACAGAAGCCACAGGGCCAGGCCTGGGGGCTTTGGAGGAGTGAACGAAGGTCGGGGGCAGGATGAAGCTGAGCAGGACCGCGGCTGTGGGGAGGACACTGGACAGGAGCTGCAATGGGCCAGACTCTCTAAGGCACAGGTGGGTGGTGCTCAGTGCCTGTGCAGCAGGTGACACACCAGGCCTGAAATGCTCTGAAAGGGTTTGGCTGGCTCAGCCCAGGCCTACTTCTCAGAGAGGCCCAGACGCCTGTGTTGGAAGTCTGGCCTGATGCAACCACACAGGAGGACTGTGCCAGGTCCCTAGCCAGGGTCAGTGTGAAGGATGGAGGACAGGCACCTTGCCCACTGCTCCACTTGTGAGTCCCAACCTCTCTTTGCTCTCCCACTGTCTGTGCACTGGGCGCCCAGCCCTCTTGCACTGCCAGCCCGTGCTAGTCATTCACGCACACAATTCCTTGAGTGCTGCTGGCTTCAGGAGTGGAGAGGGGCTGCCCCACGACATGCCCCTGTGAGGCAGGGACACTGGCATGCTGGATCACTTCAGGGGCTCAGGGCCAGGCTCGCTCTCCCCCAAGGAAGCAAGCTTTTGAGGTAATGAGGGATGCTGTGTGCCACAGGCATTGGTGACTGCTGGCTGAGCATCCCTGGCAGGGGCACCAGTCCCTCCTTGCTTCCTTAACAGTGGAGTGGGCCAAGCCAGTGCACCACATCCAGGGTCAGAATGCACACCCTCAAGCACAGCTTCTGCTGTATTTACAGCTTCTCCAGCCACTGCAATGTCCCCTCCTTTCTCCCCTACAGCTCCTCCCAGACACAGTCAACAAGGCCCCATGCCCAGCTCACCCTCACAGGCTGATCTCTGAGAGGACAGGCCGGTATCCTGCACTTACTCAATGTCCTCGAAGATGTTGGGCGGCACCTGCAGGAGGCGGGCGACGTCTTCCATCAGCTGCCTCCCCTTCTCTGGGCTCAGGGGGCTGTGGAGAGAGGAGAGGCAGGGTCACCAAGGACTGGGACCAGGTTCTCCCTTGGGCAGGCAAACCCCTGCATTTCCAGCAGTAAACAGAAAATACAGCGCAAATGGGATTGTTAGGAGGATAAGGGGCCCTGATGCCCCTGTGACTCATCTCAGCCTTCAGTAAAAATACAATAAAGAGGGTGAGAGAGGAAAACTGAGAGAGGGGAGGAAGAGGAATGGGAGCTGATGCTGGGGGTCAGATTGCTGGGCCGCGTCACGTGCACAAAGGAAAGAGCTGCCTTATGTGGAGTCATTTCCAAAGCGAGTCACAATTCCAGGAGGTGGGTGTCTAAGTACCACATGTGCAAGTGTAAACGGTGGGGTGAGGTGGACACTCCCACTGGCAGCACCTTGTCAGAGGGGCACAGCTGTCCCAGACAGACACTGTGACCACGGCTGCCCAGCAAGGCCACACCACAGGGAGAGCCTGGAGCAGTAGGCACATGTGACTCAGAGCTCCAGTTACGACTCCTGAATTCCAGGGTTCTGGTCCCTGGACCTTCGAGCCTGTGAAGCCCACCTGTGCTTCACCGCTGAAGCACTAATTTATGTTATTGCGACAGCAAAGGCATCAGCCCCGCTAGCACTGTTTCCTTCACTTGCTCAGCAAATGCTGAGGAAGGAGCACAGCCATGGACAGTAGAGACTGGACCCTGCGTTTGTGGGATGTGTGCTTGTGTGGGGAAGACCAGCCACAGACATTCATAGTCCTGTCGTTAGTGTTGAGTTGTCATCCAGAGACCCATCTGTTGAAGTCCGAACCCCAGAGAGCGTGAACTTCTCTGCAAACAGGTTACGTGAGCTTACTCAGTCAAGGCGGTGTCACTAGTGGGGCCCTGAGCCTGTAGTCGTCACCACCGTCCTTGTCGAAGGGGGGACCCAAGTAGGTGCAGTGGGGGAACACTATGAGGACACAGGGAGAAAACCAACCACATGTCAAAGTCATCGAGACCACCGGTGGCGACAGATGGCCTGGGACTGGCTCCCTCAGGCCAGCCAACACCTTAATCCCGGACTTCACATCTCTAGGAGAGGTTATACACTGTGGAATCGGCTGCCCAGCTCGTTGTGTTGTTAGGGGACCAGAGCAGGCTGGTGTGCACATCAGCTGGTGACAGGGGCAGGGAGAGCTGGAGTGTGGGTGAGCAGGATCTGTCCTCGATGGGCGAGGTACCATTTCCCAGGAGGCCACATCTGACAGAAGCACAACACCAGGCCCTGGAATGGCAGGCTTGGCGGGTGGCAGTCAGGAGGTCAGCATGACAGGGACAACACGGGCCGGGCCAGGATGTGCACAGGTACGACGGGGACCTGCAGGCTTCTCCGGAACAGCGAGGACCCGTGGGGGAGGGGCCAACCGCGACACTCCCCCTGGACACAGCTGTGGCCCACGACTGTGATCAACATAAGGACCCAGGACAAGCTGACCACGGACTCAACCCCTCCTTCTCTCATAAATGCTAACCCAGGGATAAGAGGCACTAGCCAGAAGACCACAGGGGGTAGGAGCAGGCCCCACAGGGGAAACGCACTGCATGGGCACACATTCTGGGCTGGGGCTGAGCTTGTCCTAGAGACCCAGAACGTTGGCCAGTGGGGCCCATACCTGTTCCCTTCAGCATCACACACAGCTGCACCCCTCATGAGGGTGCTCCATGTGTGCCCACACCTCCATGTACACCAAGATATTTGCCAGATGCACACAAACACCTCCACGTGCACCAGGACACTCCCCCGTGCACACACTCTCCAGGTACACCAATACACTCCCCACATGCACACAGACACTTCCACATGTATGAAGACACTCTCCAGGTGTGCACGTACCTCCATGTACACCAAGACACCTACCAGGTATACACGCAGACAGCTATGTGCACTAAGACACTCCCCAGGTGCACACAGCCAACCAGCAGTTTTCCACCAGAGGGTGGTGGGCCCAAGTGGAGTGTGGCATCATCATGGACTCAGCCCCACTGGCCCTAGGACTCTCCAGACACCACACAGGAACTGAATATCACCACAGCGAGATCAGTCAAGGCAGCCTTGAGGGTCACCATGGCATCTGCAGCCAGGATCATTTCATGTCCTGCAGACAGGACATCCCCAACTACCCCAGCCAAACAGCAGGACAGCCAGTGCCTTTCAGTCTCTCTGTGGCCACTTGTCATGGGTGCCAGCAGGGAAAGCACGTTTGTAACGACCACAGTGGGGCACCTGGGGTGCTCAAAGGAGCATGCACTCATCAGTTCATTTCCAACGCATGCTGTCGTCTGTCCTGCCGTGGTCTGAATTTCCATAGGAAGCAGTTAGTTAATCTCGAAAATCAGTGGGACGATTCAGCATGAACAGTTCTACCTGGCAGTGTGTGGCAGCTGTCACCCAGTCCCCTGATCATGGTGCTGCCCTTGGACAGCAGGCACCGAGCTCTTGTGGACCAGGATCTGAGCTGTGAGGGCTGGGGACCTCAAGCCAAACCTGGACAGTGAGCAACAAAGGGTCTCAGAGATAAAGAAGGCATCTCCTCTCCACTGCGTTTCCAGTCTGAGGGAAGCGTGCTGAGATATTTTAATGCTACTGTTCAAGATTTTTGACTAAATAAACAAAATGGAGAGAATCGAGAGGGTCGGTAATCATCCATTTGCTGGGAAGTTCACAGTGGGAGGTAACACCCGTCTTCCCATGACGCTCTCGAAACACCAAGGCTGCAATGTGGACGTCCACACAGCACCTGGACTGAGGACCTAGCTGCACAAGCAGTGAGGAATATGTGGAGAGCACCCTTCGCATAGAGACCGGGGAGTATAACGGAGGGTCAGAAGTACCAAGAGCAGAGAGAACTGCTGGAAGGCTCCCTCAGGCTGCTCATAACACTTGCATGGAAAGCACTGTTGCTGACTCACTTATTTATTTTTTTATTTATTTTAGGAGATGGCCTCTGTCTGTGTTGTCCAGGCTAGCCCTAACTCCTGGGCTCAAGTCCTTGGCCTCTGTCTCCAGCAGCTGGAACTACCGGTGAGCACCACCATGCCTCATTTTTTAAAAAGGGAGACTGAGACTGGAAAAATTATGCTCCTAGACCAGGATCCTTCCACCAGGAAACCTCCAAGAAAGAACCCATCCAGGCAGGTCACTGGAAGGCTGACACTCAGGGTGGGTGTCACAAGAAGGGATGGCCTGGGCCTGTGGCCTCTCATGGGCCTCCTACAGCACAAAGCTGAGAGTCTGCACCTGCGATCACTGCATCATGAGTCTCTATGCCTCCTCACACAGCAATGCCATCCTCTCTTACCTCCAGGGCAGCTGAGATCAAGCTGAAAACAGCACGCTGTGGAGAGCACTCCTGCTGACCTGCTTCACATCCGTGTCTAAGGGCTGAACCACTGTGTGTCTGCCATGCTACTTGCTCAACTGTGGACAATTTACAATCTATATGAAATTGCACTAAGAGTTAGGGAACCACGATGATGGGCTGTGAAAGAAAAAGCACTCGACTTGGGTACGAACCCGGGGTGATACTGGAAACCAGTGAAGGGACTGAGGTTTCCTTGGGATTTGCCGATTATCCCAGTTCCCGCTCCGTCACCCTAATCATGGCTCACCTGTGGGCTCCTCCAGTGTGGAGAGGCGCAGAAGAGGGCACCAAGAAGAGGCAACCACCGGCCTGGTATCTGCTCCCTCCACTTCCCTCTTAGAGAGCCAGGGAGGAGCCTGTGACCACCTGCATCCCAGGCCAATTCATCTGAAGTTGATAATGTTCCCTACAGCTCCTGAGAGCGATGCTATAAACAACCACTGACTCCCACAGCAGCTGAGGAACTGCCATGTGCCAACAACTCTTTCTCAACACCAAAATGAGAATGTCCTTCTCGGTATAAACACATTAATTTCTCCACATTGAAAAAAATGTCAAGAGTTTAATAAAAATCTAAGCGGCTGTTTGCACAGAACTTGGCCTTGGAGACAGTGATCCCGTGTTCCTGTGAGGCTGGTTCGCAACTCTACAAACAGCCAGGCGAGCTGTTGTGGGAGTGAACCCGTGATGACTTCCTCCCCACCCTGAGATGTCTGTGAGGGGCTCTTCCCTGGATGGCTCCAATCCCTGGGATCCAGGACCCCCTGAGGGCCCTGACACCCACAGGGAGCTCAGCACATTTTTCTGCTCCATGCTTGAGACCAGGGAGGTCCCGCAGAGAGAAGCACTCAGCATGGAGGACAGGGCCAGGCTGCTGACTGCCGGGCTGCCCAGAAGGGTGGCCAGTGTACTGTGGGTGGGGACAGGATGGGATGGGGGTTGCACTGAGGATGGCTCCTGGGCTGGCCCAGGAGCAAGGGCCCAGGCGGTGACTCCTCGCAGAGGGCTCCAGCAGGAGGGCAGCCCCAGTTCCCACCCACGGACAGAATATCCTGAACTACACCCTGCAGCCGGGCTGGACATGGCTGCCCAGTGTGGGCCCTGCCATCTCTGCCCTCATGGCTGCCGCCCAGCACACTCACACACACATGTGCACACACACATCAGATAGACACACCATACACATATACCACACACACACACATACACACAACACACAGACATATTACATACACATACCCCACACATATACACACAGACGTGTGTGCGCACACAACAGGTAGCCACACCACACACATGTGCACACATACAACAGACATACCATATGTGTATAGACACATACATGTGTGCACACACAACAGACAGACACACTGCACACATGGACATACCACACACACAACACACATAGACACACCACGTGCACACCCCACACACAAAACACCACAGACACCTCCTGGACACATACAGGCATATGTGTATAAACAGTCAGCACACACAGACACGCATCACCCCACAGCCACACCCACACCCACACCGGCATGTAGGCTGCACACACCACCTGCTAGGACGACACCTCCAAAAGCACCAGCCATCCTAAGGGGTGGATCCATGATGACCCTTGAACCCGACGTATGCCTGCCCCAAGCCCCTGCTGGCTGTTCGCCCTCGACCCTGTGCCCACTCCCACTCCCTGAGGGAGCAGCCCTGGTTCCTCTCTCCCTCTTTCTCCGAGAAAGCCCAGCCTCTCAGGACCGGGGCAATAACACCCTGTGTGCAAGACGTGGTGCAGGCATGTTCCCCGAAGCATGCAGGCAAGAACCCTGAGAGCCCTCTGTATGCAGAACAGAGAGGACCCCACCCTCCCGAGGCTTCTGTCTCACACAGGCAGAGCGTAGACAGAGGCAGGGACAGAGACAGCAGCTAGTGGCTCCTCATCCGGGCCTGATCATCCTAGTGAGAGAGAGCCCTAGAGAAACAGGGTCAGCAAGGACCCCAGGGAAAGCTGCTCCCATCTGCACACCAGTCTAAAGTCATGGGATCACCGGTGTGAAACTGGTGTGAAATCTGAGTTTGGTTTTGGTGACCATCTGTGGTTTGAGCTCACTATGAAATCTCTACCCGATTATAATACACGTGTGTCCCTCAAGGGTGAAGCATGGCCTCGTGGGCAGCAGGGTGGAGTCTGCCAGAGCCAGGTCTCTGACCCACTCCTTCCCCACTGCCACGGGCAACAGCTGAAACATGCTGGGCTTCCTGGCAGGGGGAGCAGAGCGTGAGCAGGTGCGCACTAGTTACAAATGAGCACACGTGCACACTTGAGACACTGCCTGTGGGAGACCCAGACTCACCGAGATGGCCCTAGATGTTGGCTCATCAGTGAGGGAACCAAGGAACCAGCTGGCCCTGTACTCACAGGGCTCATCACATCCAGATCCCTTTCCCGAGAGTTCAGACTGAGATGAGGAGAAAGAACACTGTGCTTCAGTGGGGCACACTGTCCCTCTGAAAGGCCCCTCCGGCACTACTATTTGGGCCATGGGGTGTGAAACAGACAAAGCTTTTGGAGGAGTTTTTCACTCAGTACTGGGGATTGAACCCCAAACCTTGACACTGAGCTACATTTTCAGCCCTGTTTCAATTTTTTATTTTGAAACAGGGTCTCACTGGGTTGTTAAATTGCCCGGGCTGGGCTTGAACTTTTGATCCTCCTGCCTCAGGCTCCCAGAGTGCTAGGATGACAGGTATGTTCCACCACACCCTACCTCTTCTGCAGTTTCAACCATCAAGGAACCGGCACAGAGTTGAGCTCTCCAGGCGTCCTACCAGGAGAGCAACCTGTCCTCAGCCTTTGCTTGGCCCCAAAGGTGCCAGCCTACCAGGTTTGGGTCAGAGCCAGAGAATGAGGAAGGACCTTGAGAGTCTGGCTTTGTTCACTGTACTCAGAGCACCACTCTGGAGCTTAGCACCAGGGTCACAAGCACCAGACAAGCACACGGGGCTCCTGGCTGCCGCCCACCTATGATTTCAGACCCCACACTCAACAGACATTGAAAATAAGATTGTTTTCTGCCTCTGTGAGACGCCCTCCCGCCAGGGTCTTGGGGCACCAGGAGGTGAGAGTCTTCTACTTACTCAGTGTCTGTCACGATGTAGCCCAGCTCCTCACCCTCAGAAGGCCTGGCTTCCAGCTGCAGGCCTCCACCTGGGGGGACCTGCGCTCCTGCCTGGGGGCTCTGCACATCCTGCAGTGCCCCTGGATCCCAGCTCTGGAGCCCTCCAAGCCCAGTAGCCCTGGGCTCTGCGTTCGCCTTCTCCAGGAAGTCTTTGGAGTATGTCTGGCTCTTCACGTTCTCCACCCCCACATCCTCTTCCTCTGAAGACAAGGAAGCCACAGGCTCCTCGGATTTCTTGATCTCTGTTGGGAAGGATTTCTCCAAGGGATGCTCTCCGGGCAGGAGTGGGGACCCGTGGTCCTCCAGGAGGTCTCCAGGTGGGACACTCAGGTGATTGACCTGGCAGAAAGGGAACTCCTGTGAAACAGTGTATAGAGAGGACAGCAGGAGCTGAGACCGAGGGATGTCTGCAATGGAGTCCCCCACGTGGGTCACAACGGGACTTGAAAGGAAAACCCTGGACGAAGGTGGTGCCTTTCTGTCTCTATCTGGAACGCTATCTAGGAGAGACCCTGCAACCTGCTTGGGGCAGGGCACTGTGTTTGAGAACCACGTGATCTCAACTGGAAACTGGATAAAGAAGATGTGGTTTTTTTATAAAATGGAGTACTATTCAGCCATAAAGAAGGAGAAACTAGAGACATTTATAGCTAAATGGATGTATATTGAGGCCATCCTCTTAAGTGAAATAAATAGGACACACATGTGTAAATACCGAATAGTGTCTCTAGTGTGAGAAACTGAGAGTGTAAATAAGAGTTAAAATGATGAAAACAAATAATTGATAATTTGAAATAGGAAAAGGTCCAAAGGGGTAGGGGTGGCAGGAGGGGATGGAGAAAGGGAAGAAGGGAAAGGAAAAATTATGAGAAAGGGAAAAAAGTGGAAAGAAGTCTATGTAAATAGGGAAGGGTGGAGGGGGTGAAGGGCACATAGGTAATGGGGACAAAAATAAGAACCAAGATACATCATGTGCAGGTACAAACACCCAATGGTAAATGTAAACGTATTGTATACCTAAAATGTACCCATAAAAAAAAAAAGAACCATGTAATCTCGACCCCACCCTTTCCTGAAGAACCTGACTCTGTAGCTAGCACAGTGCTCTGCCTGCACTGGGATGTTGTCCTGAGCATGAAATCATGTCACTAAGGTTACATTAGCCAGAAACAGGGAATCAGATTTGCTGGAGAACTTACTTTACCAAACACATTTACTTAGGAAATTAGGAAGGGTCATGAAGGGAATCAGCCCTTTTTGACTAAAAACGTGTGATTCCTTGCCTTTTCTTTTTCTGTTTCTGAATATTTAAACAAAATGGCAGTCCTCTGACAAGGTCTGCTCATATTCAGATCCTGGGTCACACGGGTACATAGCATTTACCTTGCTGACCAGAGACCAGACAATATCTTTGGGCTACAGAAGGAAAGGAGAAAATAATCTCCCAGGGCTGGGGTTTCACCAGTGAGGACAGGACTCCAACACCCAACACCTGCTCTGACAGAGCCGCCTGAAGACCCAGCAGGCTGTAGAAATGAGTAGGGGATTTCTTGAGTGGGGGAGGCAGTTGTGCTGAGTCTTGGCCACCCTGTGGCAGAGCCCAGCCAGCCAGCAGCACTCTCTGTGACTGCGGTTTGGGGGCCACTGGCCCGGGGTGCTGCCCTCAGCCACTGTCAAGCTCTCTGTCCCTTCCTGAATTTGGAACCAGCCACTCGGAGAGAATTCAACAGCACTGTGGGGCTTAAAATGTTCTCAGGTCCTTGCCAACAGGCACTGAGCCATACACCACTAAGATAATCTGTTGAGCGGTTTACCCATGATTATCTTTTTTCCACTCCAAAACCAGTGTCATGGAACCACATAATATCATTGTCATTGCATGTGAGCTGATTGTGGCATTCTTAAGGCTTGGTTAATGAGACAAGTCTCTAAAATAGGAAAAATGAACATGAACACACTAACAGTGATGGGCAAAACTGATGCATGGTGAGCAGCACCATCTGTACCGAGCCCTTCACAAGCCACTGCCCCAACAGCATGTCTAGCAGCCCCACTGGACGCTGGACAGCCCATGCTGCAGCTGGACTGGCCTTGGCCACAGGTGGAGACCAGCACTTGACCAGTGGCCAGTGCTGCTGAGGAGCTGCTGGATTCTATCTTAATTCACTGATGTTTGGGGCTACACAGCCATATGCTGCTGGATGCTGCTGTGCTGGCCATCACTGTGGGCCTTTGTAGGCCATGCCCTCCACCTGCCCCTCAAGCACACGGGGCAGCATCATGACTGGGAAGGGTGTGCAGGGAAATTCTGGGAATACTGGTGTTCTTGTTTATATTAACCATATTTCTTATGTTTCTACAACGTGTAAAAATTAGTTTATAATCTGAAAATGTCCATCATTATGTACTGATTACATACATTTTATGTACTCTTTCCATTTTTCTCAGTTTAGGGACTAGAAGGTCTCTTCCCTACTTTTCTTAGGGGTGAACTTTGCCTTTCACAACTGCTCTAAGCCTTGAATGAAAGGTTTACAACATGGTTGAACGTGAGCCCAGCACCCAGGGACTTTGTCTCACCTCAGAGGAGCCTGGGCTGTCATCCTCCCATGCTCTGCTACCTGTAACAGACACAAGTGTCACCATGGCCTTGCAGCACAAAGAGCCACAATGAAGGTGAGCAACAGTCAGGGCTCAGTCTCGCACACAAAGTGAGCCTTTCTGACTACAGCCCCAAACAGCACCTTATAAACAAGAGGGGAGAGGGTTACAGCTGAGCAGCCAGGAAGTTGGCATGGAGCGCACCTCCCCAGGCCTAGGGCCGAGTTTGTCCTCGTGTTGGCTCTCACACGTAGAGCCTGCTATCCCACGCCCAAGTGCTGCCATGGAAATGCATGGTGAAGCATCCGAACCAGCAGCCTCAGTTAAGACTGCTCCACCACCCTGACTCTGGTGACCACGCTGTGCTTCTCTAGAAGAATGCCCTACCTGTAACACCCAGGGTTGTGTGACCCACTGTCCACGCTCCAGCCCATATTTGGCCACCCTCTCAACAGTGGCGCTGCTGGGCACAGCACATTGCCGTGTGGCAACCCCTGCCTTCTGCTGTGTCCTCCACTGCCACTAGGCAGGACACCCACTCCCAGGGAGCCCCAATCCACTGCAGGGAAGGGGCCTTGCCATATGGCCCATGTGCTGGCCATCTGTAGGCACTGACCTGGAGGCCCAAGGGACACCAAAGTGAGGGCAATGGGGGGCCCAGCTGCATGGAGTGGCAGTGGAGGGGGTGACCTCGGGGAACCAGACAGCCAAATAGGGTTTATTATTCAAATATCTGGCAGTACCCACTCATAGTAGGAGTAAAACAAAAACCCTCTCCATTCCTCCTGCTCTCTGAATCCTAAGCCTCAGCATGAAGGAACAAAAGGTCCTCGCAGAGAGCAGTCTGCCCTTCAATCTCACTTCTCCGGCAGGCTTAGTCTGTTAGGAAAGCTTTTAGAGGCAAGAGTTCAAACAGGTAAACATTATTAATACAAATCCCTTCTTCCCAGCAGGGACTGTACTGTGGCTAGGAAGCAGCGTCTCTCCGAGGTGCCACGGTCTCATCCCCTCCCCACGACACCTGAACTGCAGATATTGGAGAAGTGAGGTCACCTTGGAGCATGGCTTCCCGGCCTCCCACTGGCTCCTGTAGCTGTTGCTCAGCTCCTCCCTTGGGGCCAGCCTGGACTTCTGCTGGACACTCACCTTGCCTCGCAGTGGCAACAGCGATCACATCTGCCATCCCCTCCAGCCCGATGGGGGCCCCGTGCTCCACATCAGCCTGCTGCCTCCTCAGATCCTTCAGGAGACTAGGGACAAGCACTCCTGGGGACACAGAAGGCACAAGGACACAGTGGGTTCAGCCTTCCCAAGGACACGAGGGCAGCTGGATCACGGAGCATGACAGGCCACTCGACTTCCCTGGGAAACTTCCCACAGAAGCTGGAGGCGGTCAGCCAAAACATGGCGGCATGTTGGCTGTGAAACCCAGGTGCTCTGGTCAGGTTTAGGGGAAGCAGAGAGCCAGAGCAGGACGAGCTCATTGACCTGGTCAGGGACAGAGGGAGGTCTCTGGGGAATCGCCTTCAAGACTGGGCATGAACAAGCCGTGAGAAACTGCTTCCCTCTCACCTGGAGAATAGATCACAGGCCCGAGGAAGAGCATGGAGTCCAGCACCTCACTGGGCCTGTGACACTGTGGACGTAGACAGCTGCCATATCCCTACAGTGTGTTTAGGGGGAGCTTAGTGGGAGCCCTGGGCAGTGTGGCTGACCTGTCCTGGCCACACATGGCAGCCCAGGCCCTGTGTGGCGCCCACGAATCAGTAAGAGGGGAAGCTCCGGAGTGTCCCCCCAGGCAGCCAGGCAGACCAGCCCTCCATGGCAGCAGGGTGATGTAGTTCCTCTCAGATAGCCACCTGTGGCACAGCCAAGGGGATTATAGGAGTCATTGTGCTTATCAAGGGACCCTCTCCTCAGTGAGCTGGAAACTGGGCACGCGAGGTGCATACCAGTGGGACATCCTGAGCCTCTGTCTCATCTAGGTCAAGCCTCTGCCCTCTATCCCCGACAAGGATGGACGGTGTGATCAAAGATCATCCCTGACCATGCGCCAGGGTAAGGAGCCTCCTGGAGAGGTGAGCAGTCAGAGGGCGCTAAATTCCTCACTGAGACTCACTGTTGGGGTACTGCAAGGAGGGTTCCAGGGGGAGGTGGTCACTGGAGCCTTTGGAGGGTGCGTCTTCCAAACCAGTCTCTTCCCTTAGGTTCTGCTTTCCAGCCACCGCAAGCAGGTGACTTTGCTCCACCACACCCTTCCACCATAACACTTCTGCCTTGGATCCAGCCAACCATTGACTCAAATCTCTGAAACCCTGAGCCACATAAGCCTCTCCTCCTTTAAGTTGTAGTGTTGGGTGTTTTGGCCAGCAACAGCCTCCAGCTGTCCACACTCCATTCAGGCGGGAGGGAAGAAAGAACACCTAATGCGAGGCAGGAAGATGCCGATCTTCAGAGGCCCTTTCCATCCAAGCTGTGTTTGATTGAATGGTGGAAAGGTCATCACCCCTCCTGGGCCCTTCTCTCTTCCACGATGCCCACCAGCCCTTTCCCAGGTGAGATAGGGATGTGTCTGTCAAGCTTGTTTCAATATGGCCCATGATCCAGTCACCTCTCTGTTCTTCACCTGCTTTCCACCTGTTCATGCACCTGACACTACTAATGGATTGCTTTGCAGTCAGAGAAGACACAACAGAAGGGGTCTGCACATCGGCTGCTGGCTGGGGGGTTTCCCTTAGCAGCGGGGCTGGGCAGATGTTACATGGAGGACAGCAGTGGCCCTGGGGTGGGCAGACGGGCATCACACGGAGGACAGGAGTGTCGCAGGGGCAGGCGGGTGGTCATAGGAGCTTTGGCACAGGGTGGGAGAAAGGAGCCCACAGTACTCATTCATGGTGACTTTGATCTGGCCCTTGTATGAAGCGGGACCTTGGTCCCGTTGGCTCCACTCATGTGAGGCTGCAAGTGCAGTAGTCCTCACTTCAGACAGCTGGCACCCAAGGGGCACCCATGGGAGCTGTTTCCAGACTGTGGGCCACAAGGAAGTGGCTAGGCAAGGTGAGCCCCACCCTGAGTCTGAGCAGCTCTGCCCCAGAGTGGGAGGTCAGGGGTCAGAAGTGGGCAGGGTGGCTGGGATGAAAGGCAGGCAGGAGCCGTGCATGGGCTCCCCTGGGGCTGCAGGACTGCTGTGAGCATCACGAGGCCAAGCTGAGCAGTGGGTAGAGGAGCTCCAGCTCCTACCTGCTGCTGTATAGAGACCAGTGAAACCCAGTGGCCATTGCTGAGGATCACAAAGGCCCCGTCTTTGAGGAAGTCCACCACCACACACAATGCCCATAACTACCCACTGTAGCTGGATGTGGTGGCAAATGCCTGTAATATCAGCAGTCTAGTAGGCTGAGGCAGGACTACAAATTTCAGCCTAGAATGGGCCACTTAGTGAAATCCTGTCTCTAAAATTTTTTAAAATTTAAAAATGGGCTGGGGATGTAGCTCAGGGCAAAGGCCCTAAGTTCAAGTCCCAGTTCGTAAGAATAAAACAGAACAAAACAAAAACATGTACCCTGAGAGGACCACAGGGTCAGCCAGGAATGTGGCTGCTGCTGGAAACTGTACAGAAAGGAAGTCAGCCTAGGGGCCTCAGGCACAGCACTCAGCACACAGCACAGGGACGGCGCCACAACGCAGGCAGCCAGAAGGGGACCGAGCTGGGGACAGGCAGCGCCGGTCCAGATGCAGGTAGGAAGGGCTGCATAGCGAGCACGGCAGAGGTGTGGGCACTCAGCGGAGAATCTCGTGGAAGCTCTGGGAGGAAGAGTGCAGACCTAGGCAACAAAACACGTGGTGTGGCAGTGGAGAGGATGAAGGGAAAAGCGGGGAGAGCTACAGCTGCCTGGGTCCAGGGCAGAAGAAGCCTGCATGACCATGGAAGTGGAGCCTGAAAGAAAGTCCAGCACATCCCAGATTTGGTGAGGAATATCCACTTAGAGATTCACGACACCCAGGAAATCCCAAGAACAAACAGAATTCACCACCATCGGATGTCACAGTCCACATGCTGACCAGGATCAGGAGGCCCGGGAGAGGCGGTTGGGGCAGAGACCAGCACGGCCAGCAGCCAGCTTCTAAAAACAGGGGGCCCAGACCCACACTGAGCATCTTGTAAGAACACATGCCTGATATGTATGACCGCGTACCTGATATTACACATACGAATGACATTCTGGATGTGGTGAAAGGGAATGCCCAACCCAGAAATCTATAGCCAGTGAAAACTCCCTTCAAACATGAAGGTGAAGTAACATGTTTTCATGCAATGCACAGGAAACAGACGCCATGTGCATCCATCCCCAGCAGACTCTGACAGCTCTGCCAGGCCCAGGAGCACTTTAGCATTGCCACATGGCTCAGTAGGCCCGGCCACCAGTGGCAGCCCCAGATCCTCTTGTCTCTTGCACTGAGGGCTTTGCTCTGGTTGGCCAAGCAGCAGAATGAGGATCTGTTCCGAAAGAGCAGCACAGGCAGGGCAGGAGGCAGTGCTCTGGGTCAGGTAGGCTCTGCTGACTTTCTGAAGAGAGGGTAGGGGAGCCCTCAGGAATGCCCATGGCAAAACAAAGGCAGCCCCTGTGACCAGAGGGTTGAAGCTCCTCCAGTAATCCCTATACATAGTCACGAGGGCCATTTCAGTGTTTCGTTCTTTCTAAGTGCCCACCCGCCTGCCTTCCCCTCCCTATGTCTGCCAAGGAAGGGTGGCATCTGCCCTGCCCCCGCCTGCGCCCTGCAGGGACTGTGACCCTGGCTGGCACCCTCAGGAGCTGCCTCTCAAACATGGCCTTATGTGGGCTGGCTGACTGTCCATGGTATCCTTTAAAGTCAGTGCCCATGAGCTCAGAAGGGCATGAGCATGAGCCACCACTCCAACTGAGTTCTCGGGGAGAAGCCAGGTCCCCGCTGGACCTGGGCCTGGGCCTGGGCCTGGGCCTGAGCTCCACAAGGGTAGGCTCCAGCTCCACTTTGCCACCAGGCTCAGCTCTGACTCAGCCTCATATCTCAGGGCTCTGACAGTGGGTCTGGGGCCACCCTGGTAGTGAGCACTCACGGAGTGAGCACGTGCCCCTCCCTGGGGGCTGTCAGGGGACCACTGTCTGTGTGCCTGAGTCTCCACATCAAGGGGACCACAGAGGCCTGGAGCCACACAACCTGCCCAGTGCAGGCCATTGATCCTGGCTTGCTGACCCTCCTCAGAACTTCAGTGAAGGAATGGCTCGGTGCCCCTACCTCTTTTGCCTTCCAGCACCCATGCTTCCCTCCTGGCCCTGGGAACTGTGAGTGATACCTTTCCTTCTGGGGGTGGTCACCACCCCACACACTGACCTCACCACAAATGAATCACAACAAAAGCCACATCTAAATGCGGCTTCCTCCCTTGGGCAGAGACTCAGGTGTGCACCATGGCTGCTTCCTTCTGGTCCCACTGGAGCCTCTGCCCACAGTGGCCCTGGCCCAGGGCTCACCAGGGCTAGACGCTTGCCAGAAGAGGGGATGGCAGTGACAAACAAGGGAGATACCTCTAGACTACATGCCGAGGCACTTGCTCTCGCCTTGTCACTCCTTGTGCAAGTGCCAGAGTGATGCTTTGCACACTCCACATGGAGGGTGGCACAAGCACCCACATGGCTGGCTGGAAAACTGCACTCATGACCTCCAGATCAGAGGAGGCATCTCAGACCCAGACCCACACACAAAGCCACTTCCAGGCACAGCCTTCTCCTCTCTGTGCTGCACTCTGCACTCACCGCACCTTTTTCTTGTCTGTGCTGCTGCCTTGTGAAGTCTTATCTCAGGCACACATATCCACAGGTCTAGTGACAACAACAAAGGAAATCTCAAAGAAAATGGAAATCAGGAGGGAGGGGAGGACAGAGCTGTGGGAAGGCTATGGCCACAGCCCTCCTGCAGGGGCTCCTGCCCATCCGGTAAGACCAAGCCACTGCCCACAGGCCACTCCCCCGAGCACCAAGCTGCCAGAGAGAAACATGAGTCACCTTGAGGCCTCTGCCAAGACAAGGACCCTGAGGGGGAAGAGTCCCTCACATGGCACCACTGTTCCAAAGCCCCTGCCTCCTGTGGTGGACAAGCTAGGGCAGTGGCCTCCATGGCCAGGTGCAGAGGCAGAGTCGTCACAGGGGAGGTGGCCAGGCCAGGCACCACAGGGGAGCCCCAGGCTCTGCATTTCACCCAAGGGATGGAGAAGGCCAAGGGCTCAC